CATACTTTGGTCATGTTCTAAGGAGAGACCGGTCCTTGGAGAAGGACATCATGCTTGGGAAGGTGGGGCAGGCGCAGGAAGGGAAGGCCCTCTGGGAGATGGACTGATTTGGTGACTGGGGCAATCGGGATGAGTGTGTCAGAGACAATGAGACTGGCACAGGACAGAGGAGACTTTAGAGCTGTTGTACATAAGGTCGCTATGCGTCACAAGCGACTCGACAGCATAAAAACCTAAGGATCACTTATGAATCAACTCTGACTCTCCACAATGCGGTTTCTCCTTAGTAACCATGTATCCCAGCGGCTCACCAATTTTAACAAATGCACCCAAAACCAGCAAGATAGTAAGAAACAGTGCTCTCTGTACAATTTTTCTGTTAACTTAAAACTGCTTTAAAACACAAACCCTGGTTTTTAATTGTACACCAGCAATGACGGCAGCCACAGGCAGTGGTGAGATTAAGGAATCCTGCATAGGTTAACATCTTCAGGTTAATAACAAAAATGTTTAAAGAAGACAAAGCCATCAGGGGATGGGCTGAGACTGGACGGAAGGCTGCAGGTGCTCGCCAGGTGCCAGCCTCCGGTACCGACAGGCCTCACGGCCACGTGGACACACCTGCTGTGACTGGAGCTGTATTCACTCACTGGACACACCAAGTCCTGCGAGGACTTCTCCGGGGTCTGAACACAGACACATGTGAAAGCCACAGTCCTTGCACCCAGGGAAGCCAAAATTACCAACCGAAGCCCAGGTGGACCAGCAGAAGGAGAAGCAGAGGACATTTTAAAAGGAAACAGCATGAACACTAAACCTCAGAGAGTCAGTCCATCAAAGGCTGTATCAGAGGACAGCTGTCCAGGAGCCTGTCTGGGCCCCAGTCGGTTTCTGTCTGCTCCCTTCAATTATTAATATGTCGACAAAACATTGACTAGACTGTGAAATGCAGGAAGCAAGCACACAGCGTAGAGAGTGCCCAGGAGTGCCGCCCCCCCGAGAGCGTGGCAGGGAGTTGGCCACGTCGTGCCCGAGGCCTGCGTAACACCCTGACCTCGTGTGGCCACTGTGTGTGGGACGGGGCTCAGAGTTCAGCCCCCGGCCCGACACTATTTCTCCCAGCACTACTGGGCCAACTCTGGCACAGAACAGGCCGCCTCCCACAGAGGGCTCACCAGCAGGAATACAGGAACTGCGTCCGCAGCGCTCACAGACACTAACAGCAGCGCCCCTTGTCTTCTGCAGAGAAACTAGTCTCCCTCTAGAACCATGAGTGAGGAACACCAGCAGGCAAAAAACGCCTCCACGCCCTTTCACCCCTAGATCCACCCTGCTGCCCTTGAACTCCCTGAGCCTCCAATGGCCAATCAATCTGTCCTGGAGAAAGGACCTGGTGACACCTTAGAGCGCTCAGCTGTAAATCAAAAGGTCACCAGCCAAGAAAGATGAGGCAGCAGAGTTCCTTACAATGTCGTGCTGGTAGCTGTTAAGTGCTGTTGAGACAACTACAACTCACAGCAACCCTGTAACCATGGACTTGAACCCTGTCCTGTCCTGCTCCATCCTCATCATCTACAACACAGGTGAGCCCATCGCTGCAGTCACTGTGTCCTGGTGTTTGTTGTTGTTAAGCGTTGTCGAGCTGTAGGCAACTCATAGCGACCCTATGGATCAAAGTCCTGGACACCTGTGTAACTTACGTCCTTTCTCCAGGTTCACAGGGTTTCCAGAGGCAAGCTATTACAGAAGTGGATGCCACTCCTGCTTCCAAGCATCTGCTGTAGTGTTCCTTGTTCAATGACCCTCCAACCTTTCCAAACACGCTGCTGCTCTCCAAGGAACAGTGTCTCCTAACAACGTGTCCAAAGTACGTAAGACGAAGCTTCACCTTCCTTGCCTCCAAGGAGGCTGCCGGCTGCACTTACTGGCCTTGGAAGTCCTAGGAGACCACTTTCCTCTGGCCAATAAAGAGGGCCGCTGGGGCCGGAATCGACCTGAGAGCAGTGATGTGACTCAGGTACAGCGAGACCTGCATGTGTGCAAAAGGATGTGCACCCCCGGCACAGCCTACACAGGAAGCCACCGAATTGCCTAACAACGTGGGCAGGTGGAGTTAAGTACAGGGACAGCCACACAGGGTCACACGCGGCTTTTCAAAGGCCGAAGGGGCTCCATGGAAGAGAGGAAACCACACTCAGGGGCAGCGTGTCGGTGACAAAAGCAAACAGCACCTGTCTAAAGTGGGGCAGTGAGCTCCCCTGCGAATAAGTAACGACAAGAGTGACAGGAGTCCACGCACGATGCACTGCTGCTTTGTTGTTAGGTGCTGTCGAGTTCCACTCACAGTGACTCTAGGAACAAGAGCGGAGCCCTGCCCTGCCCTGCCCTGTGCCGTCCTCACTGTCTCTGACACACTTGAGCCCACTGCTGCACTCACTGTGTCAATCCATTTCATTGGGGGCTTCCTCTCTTTCTCTGACCCTCAGCATGACGTTCCTGAATCCTCTTCTAGAAACGTGCCCACCGTCTCGCCTCCGTGCAGCACCCTGGCTCTGGCTGTCTTGAGGGAGGGGACAGAGTGGCCTGGAGCAGGGACTGTGTGGGGACGCTCAGCAAAGTGTGAGTGCATGTTTGGACTTTTCAATCACGTGCAGGTGTGACTGCTGCAAAAACATCTTTTCAGTAACGGTACCAGCGTCCATCTGCACTCGCTTGTCCGGGCATGGGACATCTTGAGGCCACAAGTAGCACAGCTGGTCTAGAGAGGAAGAGACGTGAGGAGGGGCGAGCGACACCAGGTCTCACAGTTCATTTAGTCCCACATCACATACTGTCTTTTTAAAAATAATAATTACAATAAAACAGAGAAAGCCAGGAAGTGTGTAAGGTAGGGGACAGTGCTCTCACCATCCAAAAGGGAAAACTCAAATATCTGCCCCCAAAACAAGTGAGAAGTGGCAGGACTGTGTTTGTCAAACACAGGAAATTCAGGAGCCCGGGTAAGACAGGGCAGCCCCTCCACGTGCACTGACACAGGTATCCGGGCAGCTCGAATTCTCACAGCGCTCACTGTCCTTCCCAACCAGGGCTGGGTCAGGGCTCTAGCTCATGCTCCCCAGATTTTCCCAGGTCCCCGTGCCTTCCCACCTCCTCAGCCCGTCATGGACTGCCTTTCCTCATCTCGGCACAGCTAGGGTGTCACCTCCTCCAGGAAGGCCTTGTCCACTTCATGTGCAGCCTGGGTCAGGCCCTCAGTCTCCATGCCGAACTCAGAGCAGATCACAGGAGGATGCTGTGAGCAGAAGTGTGCCCCGTGGGCTGAGGGCTCCCCGAGGGGGCATCAACATGAGGCCCTGGGCCCCCAGCACTCGGCATGAAGAGCTGCTCAGGCAACTTCTAATGGACCAAAGTATACCTTCACCCATCACTCAAGTCTCAACTTTCTCGCACCAAAAGCCACTGACGGTGTTGTAAAGGGGGGTTCCTACAGTCACCCAGGTGCCAGAAGCATCACACCTCCAGGTTGGGCAGAGGAAAGGGGTGTGCTTCAATGCAAATCTAAAGCAATCCGCCAGCACAAAATCCCCAATTCTGACAAGGTACGCACCTCCAGGGAGCAGCGGCAGGGGGGCCCCTTCTCACACCCAACACCTCCAAAACTCACTGCCTTCAAGTTAATTCTGACTTACAGCACCCTTTATCAGGGTGCCCAGTCTGCAGATTTTAATTGGAGCCGATTCACAAGCAGATGGTGGGTTTGAACTGCTGACCCTCCAGTTTTCAGTTAGCAAATTAACCTTCTCACACCCAGTCCTGGAAAAGCCCAGGTCCAGGCCTTTCTCTGACAACTGACTGAGGCCTCCCTCAGGCCACTCTCTGTCCTGTGTACGAGGGGAGAGCACCCTGCAGAGATCACAGGGTGGGATGGGGCAGAATGGGCCAGGAGAAGTCAGGTGCTGTCAGCCACCATACTCCTTAAAACAAACAAGATTCCAGGTTTCACACTGAAACAACCACCTTCCAGGACACCTGGGCTGACGAGGCCAGGCTGTCGCAGCGCTGGGGTCCCTGCCATCCCTGATGCTGGCATGGAGCAGGCTGTCAGCCACCATCCCCAGTCCAGCACTCACTGGGCCGGCTGTGCTGGGCACTCAGGGAGGAAGGTGTCCAGCATAACCAAGTTTACACAAACACCCAAGGCTCAGAGCCACCCTCCACAAGGCCACCCACATACCAGGGTCTGCTAGATGACACCAGAGAGAAGGCTGAGTCTGCAAGATCCCAGCTGGCTTTCCAGAGAATGTGCGGCCTTGACAGATAGTGAGGAGTTCAGCAGCCAGGGACAGGGTGCAGGCACCCCAGGAGAAATCCCACTCTAGGATGTAGGGGAGCTGATGTGAGGGGCTCTCTTCCCAGGTTCTCTTGGGAGGCCACCCAAACAGGTAATACACACACGGCTGATGCTGACTCCCTCCCACATGAGACTGAGGAGAAAGAGTACTGCCACACGGCACAGCCCCAGTCATGCTCCCCCCGCCCGACTCCCTCTCCAGCTGCCCTCCCTCTGCTCACAAGGGCCAGGCCACCAGCCCTGTCCTGCTTCCTGCTGTCCAAGACACCAGGAAGTTGAACTACGTTACAAGGGAACTGGCTTATGGGACACTGAGCAGAGCAGTCACTTGACACTGGGGACCCTGGCAGGGTACTTCAAACCCACCCCTTTACAAAAGGGCAGCGCCCAAGGGGATGAAGGCCCCAGCTACTTCTTCCCCAGTGCACCAGCAGCACTGCCCTCACCCACGCAGCCAACCTAGAAGGCCAACAGACACTACTCCGATTGTTCCTCCCTTGGGAAAGCCCCCCAGGAGCATGCCACCATCGTCCCGGGATCTCGGCTGTCAAGGCTGCGATCAAGGCATGTGCCCAGCACGCGCTCCCACGTGTCTGCATGGGTATGAACGCACAAGGGCCAATGTGCTACAGCTGTGGGGACGAGTGAGGGCCACTGGGGCCCAGGCGAGGATGGAGCCGGAGAGCAATCACACAATGCCTCATTCAAGGCCCTGACTGCGGGATTGTGCCCTGATCTGGAGGGCAGGGAGCGGAGGGAGGGGCAGTCCCCTAGCAGAGAAAGCGCGTTCCTGCCCATGGAGGGGGAGGGGAGAGACACTCCACCAGCTCGCGGGGCTCACGGACGGCACACGGACGTAGACAAGCCACGTTACTCGGGTATGTCACTGGGAAGGAAAACCGAAATAGAATCACCTTGGCGGGCAGCTACCCATCACTGACCTTGGACCATCGTTTTGTTGACCGAGGTCAATAGGGTACATGATGTCCCTGGCTCAGGCCAGTTTTCCAGATGTAATAAAGCCTAAACTGGGGTTCTCTGTCTTTGGGTACCAGAATGATGTGATTGGAGCCTGTAAGCACACCAGCTTTGGCCACTGCATAGAACAACAAACGACTTGTCAGGGCTTGAGACAAAGGCCATGCCCCAGCTCAGGGCTGCAGAAGGGCCATTCCAGTGTCCTGGAAAGCATTCTAAGAGCCTGCAGTTCTAAGACACAGCCGTCACCCTGGGGTGGTGGTGGCCAAAGCATGGTCTGTCCTGGGTCCCCACACTCCTCTCTTGTTTTTCAAGTGCCCCTGACTTTAATGTATTTTACAGATACTATAATTTTTACAAATGTGTGACAATCCCAAGTTGAGCAAATTCGACCAGCACCACCTTCCCACACTTCATCCTCTGTCCTGCACAACTCGGCCAGATCACACGAGGACCTGAGTGTGTCACCAGTGCCTCGAGCATCGGCTCAGGTAACAAGAGCGAGTAAGAATTTTCAAAAGGCCAAAACTGATGTCTGCTCAACCATCCAAATGAGTATAAAGTGGAAGAACTTCCATAAAAACAGCTCATGGGAATACGAAATGTCTCAGGACGCCCAGGTCAAAGTTCCCAGAAACAGGGATGTGAGGTTTTCCACGTGTGCACTCAGCACAGGTGGTTTTGTGTGTGCCACAGTCAGAACCGGCCCACAGCTGGCCCTCCAGGGGGATTCAGAGGCAGGCAATCACACAGGGTAAGACCCATCTCTCTCGTATGGAGCAGCTGGTGGATTCGAACCACATGCTTTTGGGATGATAGCGCAGCTCCTCACCCACGAGGCCACCAGAGCTCCATCTGAACACGGCACAGGTCAGGAAGGGGAAAGGCAGGTCAGGCAGCATGTACGACAGGGATTCCCAGGGCAGCAAGCTGGGCTGAGCCTCAGGGCTGTGAACAGCAGCACCCACGCTCTTTCAGCACCATTTGTTCTCAGAGTGGATGCCCCTGAGTAGCATCACACGCAGCCTGTCAGAAATGCTCCTTCCCCATCTCAGACCCAGTGAGTGGAGAACGCAGCGCACCGGGGGGCTCACAAGTCCTTCAAGTGAAGCTGTGTGAACTCAAGTCCGAGAGCTGCCGGCAGCACCGGCCTATCAGTGGGTCCTGGGCCAGGAGCATGGGCATGGAGACCATCGTGAGAGGACAGTGGGCTCCACACAAGCCGAGGTACATGTTCCATACAAGAGTGCAGCAAGGAGTCCAGAATGCACCCCAGAACGTGGGCAGCCAGGGCCGGGGGCCCATCCTGAGAGCCCTACATGCAGAACGCACCCCAAGGTGAAGAAGGAAGCAGGCCTGGACACCTCATGTCTGCCCCCAACCAGCGAAGTCAGAAAGGGCTATGGCAATGAACTCCTGTTCCCAGTGAAGCCCCGAATGCTGCAAGGAAGCCCAAGAGGCCACATGGTCAGCTACAGGTGGGCACCGAAGACAAGGAACGTGTGGGATATTTGCCACAGCGGAGAACAATATGGGACTGAGCTACAAAGGCAAACGATGCGGGTGAAACAAAAGACTTAGGGGAACGTGAAGAGAAAAAGTATGTTGTTGGGAAAACAAAAAGCAATTTGGAAAATTTTCCACCTTCTTCACTGGGCCTCTATTAAAAAGACTCTACAGAAGTACGTTTTCACTTCCTCCAAGACATTTTCTCCTTTCTACCACCAAAACCGAAATGACTGACAGAGTGACTGCAGCAATGGGCTGACGTACGTGGCTATGAGTCTTATTCGACTCAACAGCACTTAATAAAAAGCATCACCACCAGCAGAGTGCTGGTGGCCTGATGGTAAGGAGTTGCACTGCCAACTCAAAGGCAAGCAGTTCAAACCCACAAGGGAGCTCTAAAAGAAAAAAGTGAGCAATCTCCTCCCATGCAATTTACAGCCTCTAAAACCTGCTGGATTTAAAAAACAAAAAGACTAAACACATATACACACACACCCAAAAAAAACCTGCTGGAGGGTCAGCTGTGAGTTGGTTCTGACTCAATGGTACCTGCTGCAGGATCAGTTATGAAGCAAGTTCGATAGCAAATACCTCAACCACCACCACCAGAAGTTACCTACTTGAAATGCAGCAGCCAGGCTGTCCCACGAGACAATTTCAGGATTGTCGTCATGGACGTGTACTGTGAAGTTGGGATCGACCCATAGCTGACCCTCCAGAGGGTTTTCAGAGGCAGTTCACTGCACAGGAGACAGCTGATCCTTCTGCGGGGCAGCTGGTGGGTTTGAACCACATACCATTGGACTGCAGTGCCATTTCTTACCACTATGCAACCAGAGCAATCACTCATCCTATTGTTGTTGTGAGGTGTCACTGAGTTCAGTATAAACCAGAGAGAGCCGATGAACAACAGATCTGAACCCTGTCCTGTCCTGTGCCGTCCTCACAATTCCTGGCATACTGGAGCCCACTGCAGCAGTCCCCATGTCAAGCCACCTGTTAAGGCTCTTCCACTCCCTCGCCTACCCTCTGCCCTTCCAAGCATGATGTCCCTCTCCAAGGAATAAACTCCTTTAGCAAAATGCCTCAAGTATCTGAGATGAAGCTTACTCATTGCCTCCGAGGAGCACTCTGATGTACTTTGTCTAAGATATATTTGTCTTTTGGCCATCCATGGGATGTCCAGTAACCTTCTCCAACATCACACCTCAAAGGCATCAATTCTTCTGTCATCCTTACTCGTGGTTCAGCTCTCAGGTGCACAATGAGTAATCAGAAAGACCATAGCCTGAATCAGACGCACCTTATCTTCAATCTGGTATCACTGCTCCAAAATAACTTGGAGAGGTCCCTGACTGCGTATTTTCCCAGTACAGCATGTCTCCTGATTTCCCAACTGCTGGTACCTGGCATGCTGATCATGG